TATATATACTTGTATAATTCGGCTAACACTCAACAGAAGTGCGAGCAGACCAGCAGCACATGGTGCATTAATTGTCTAATAATTTATTGATAATCAAGATTCGGTGAAAGCAGGCTCCTCGACCAAATGGATTTGTAGAAATAGTTGTTTAGAACTTAATAACTGAATACTATTGATATCAAAATGATTTATTACACTAGGAAGTAATATCAAATGGGTTTTTCGTAGGTAACAACATTAATGTTCACAAGGTAAAATGATTTGAACAGATCTCAACGCTCAGATAAATATGTTTTCTGTGTGTCTTATAATCACTAATTCAGATTTATGTATATAAAGACCAGTTTATGCATATCTTAGTCAACTGTGCTACACAGTTATTTGATCATTTTATTCTTTTCAAATGCCAATCGATTACTGGTGAGTGGTGGCCAAGCAAGATTTACTTGATCTAGTTTCCAGTCCGATGAAAATTATGTAGTAAGGTTCGAAACACGAAATTAAAATTCTTTTTTTATAGTGGCAAATACATGTCCTGAAAATGTATGTTTGCACATGATTTTGAAATATATTTTGACGGGAGCTGAAACTCTTGTTAATTGATAGTCGAAACTTACTACTAATAGATACACAAAAATTAGGATAAGTAACAAAAAGCATTGAAAACATATTATGCATATATGCCAAATTAGTTACATTTAAAACCATATCTCTAGTACATTCAATAAAATCAAATGAAAAAACGATAAGTTATGTGTACAATAAATTCAATAACCCTATGTGTACTAAAACTAAAATATATGTTATGTTCAGTTGGTGACTGTGCTTTGATTGTTGATGGACAATGAGTCATTGTGATACATAAGAACCACACAATTAGTGACCTTCAAATCTGTTCACAGTCTAGAGAATTTAATTCATGATAAGTACTACTTAACCAACATAAACATAATTTCCCCACATTTTTAATTTCTCTAACGAAGGTGAGACTTAGCATTGTTGGTTCAACACCGGACTCTAACATTTTATTTTAGTTAGTGCATGATTAGATGGACTGTAATTACCTTCTAGGCTTCTACATATTTGTTTTAGCATCAAAATTCTACCAATCTGTAGATTTTTTTTCTTAAGTTGCACTCTAAAACATTTTTTACCAACCATGATATATTTTTCATTTCTAAAGTTACAACCCCAAAAAAAACATATTTTCCTTGTTGTAGCAAGTGGAAATCGTAAAGTTCTATTTACTGACTGGTAAAAATTGTAATTAAAAAAAACACCAATATTGGATAAACTTGAAAAAATGGAGATAACAAAACAAAAAAAAGCCAGGAGATAAGGAGCATGATTTGAAAGAGTTTACCTCTAAA